GTAGACTGCCAGAAGAGATATTAAAGTATTAGAGTTCTAAATTCTAAACGGAAGGTGGGCACCTGGGTGGCTCAGTCGGTTAAGTGTCCGACTTCAGCTCAGGTCATGATCTTGCTGTTTGTGAGTTCGAGCCCCATGTCGGGCTCTGTGCTGACAGCTTGAAACCTGGAGCTTACTTCTGATTCTGTGTGTCCCCCTCTCTCTGCCTCTCCCATGCTCATGCTCTGTCTCTCAGTAATAAATTAACGTTAAAAAAAATTAAAAATTCTAAAAGGAAGGTAAACAAGGGATACACTGAAAATGTATACATGCTCTATCTTCTGCCCGTCCTGTGTATTGCTGCAGGATAATACTTCTAAAGTATATCCCTGAATCTTCCGTGTTTAAAATAACCTTAAAAGAGATTTTATTCCCTGTGGAGTAAACCTCGGTTTACTCAGCTTCGTATTTGAGATCTTCACTTATGGAGCCGTCCCTGATTTCCCAGCCCCTTCTCTCATTCGTCCTCTTCATGTGCTCCCACATTCCACTCGCTATGGTGATGACTCCTTGTATTCTGTCTTAGCACTTTGGTTCATGCTGTTTGTTTTTCTGCCTGGATTGTGACTTCTCTAAATTCTCTCATCTATGCCACTTTCTCTTATCCAAATTAGAAGTAATTCCTTCCTGTGAACGCTGTTAAGTACTGCATGGCTTAAAGTTGAGCTTTAAAAAAGCTCAGTATGATGGGTTAATGGAAACTGGGAAGTTTTCAGAAGGTAGGGTAGTAGTCACATATCTCACTGTTGAGGTTGAAATAAATGGGCAGCATCCATGGCTGTGCTCATCTCATTGTTTGGTGTCATTCATTCACTAAATATTTATTGGTGACTTATTCTACATCAGGTGTTATTTTTTGGTGCAGTGACGATATGGACGTTGTTCTAAGGTAACTCAATCTGGTAGACGTAAGACATATGTACACACATGCATTAAATATTAAATGTGGGGAGATCCTCACCAGTAAGCAACCTGTAAATAGTGCTTCCTCTTTAACCTTTGCTGTGTGCATTGATGCTTAAAACTGCCCTCATAGAGACCATTTTGGGAAAAAAATCATGGAACTTTTGGAGTTCAGCAAATAAGGAAAGAGTAGAATCTGTAGAAAGTAGGAAGAACTAAGGCAAGTTTATGCTGGGAGCAAACTATCCCTCACATCTTGATGGCTCTTGAAATCCTTCAGTAACTTTCTAAAAACTTTCTGCTAGTTATTTTAGAAAAAGAATATGATCTATGGACACATTTACAGTATGTTGAGTTTTTATTTCAAATCTATTTTTTAAAACAGTTTAAATTTATTCACATCTAATGGCATCAAAACAGACAAAACTGATTTTGGAATTGTTTAATTTTCTGTTTTAAAATACCACATTGGTGGTTTAAAATTTTTCTGTGTTAGCTTTTAAACACTAAGTTTGAATTTGTTGTTGCCGTTACTACTCTGAAATTGCCGATAAATGAAATGAATTGTCAATAAATGAAAAAGCAAATTTGACAGAATTATTGCTACTTTTTTATCTTTGGTTTTGAAGTTCTAATGATATCTTGAATTTGCTATCAAAGAATTTTTCATAAGTGAATGTATATTAAGGATGTGGTGAGTATTTTAAGAAGAAGTTATCAAAGTTTCTTCTTCTGTTCATTTAAATGTATTTTTCAAATTCCATGTTTTTTTACCCTTCCTGATTTTAACCAGTGGTTCCACATTGATATGTATTCACCAGTCTCTGGCCAAGAATGAAAACAGTGTTAGACCATGAAATAATCAAAATCGTCTTGGGTATTCTATGATTGATGGGCTGAGTGAGTTAAGTCTTGTGTACATTTTGTTTCTTCTGAGTCGTGCCCCTCACTTGATATCCAAATAGAGGCTCTCAATTCTTATTTCTTAAAAAAGAAAAAATACGTTTGCTTGCCTGTTTATTAATAAAAGGCGCATAAATTTGTGGAACACCTATGAGCACTTCTAGGACTTGATAAACCACTGTTTGGAGCTTAGAATAAGTCCAAACATTGTAGAGTTGTATTTAGGGGTCTCTTTGATCGTCCTTTTCCTCCTCTCGTCTCACATTCACTTCTTTGTGCAAATCAGGAGCGGCAGCACTCTAAACTCCTCGCTGATCCTCAGATGTTTTGGTCTTTTTTACATCTCTGTCTTTGCCTGAAATTGCTTTCTCGCTACCTCCTCAGTTTATGTGGAGAACCTCCTCAAGATTAGGCCAGCGAAGAAAGAAGACAAACCGAGTCCCAGATCTCTCGTGTTAGGTCACCCCTGTCTGGCTCCCTCCCGCCTTCCTCGCAGGAGGTGGTGCTCTGGTGGCCTCCAAGTCCTTGGTGCACACCTGCTCATTGACAGCTGTAACATAGCCGATTTATCTACCCAAGGTGGCCAGGCCTTTCTAGGGCACGCAGTCTCTGATTCATTTCTGCATCTTCTGTTCCTGGCATAGGATTGGGTCCATAGTGGAAGTTCAGTAAGTAGATTTCAGATGCTGGGTGAACATTATAAAATTGAAAACTTTTTTACTGAGCATGATGGCAACTTTCATGTTTTGGTTATTCTTGAATTTCTGTTTCTCTGTGTTTTTGTATAATCTCCACTTCTCCTCATACCCCCCATGTCTCTTATCGTGCGTTCTCTCCTTTTTTGGTTTTACTGTCTTTATTTCTGTGCTTAGTGCTTCGTGTGGCATTTTCCTTTTATAAACAGTTGTTTGATTACAGTTTTTTGTTTAGGACTTCTTTCCTGTGATGAATTAAAGGTTTGAGGAAGAAATGACTGGGTACGGTATTGTTGGTAGTGTTGATGCAGAAACCCCCGAATGGAAGAAAGTTTTCATTGGTAGCTCTGTGACTGACTGCCGAACAATTTCTTGAGTGCTAACTCTGTGCCAGGCATTTAGCTAAAAAATCTTACACACCATCTCATTCAGTCCTCCCAACAAGTCTTATGAGGCAGAATTATATTTTCATTTTATAGGTGAAGAGACTGAGGCGTTGAGAGGTTTTCTAAATTTCTTAAGGTAACTGAAATATAATACAGAAGTATGTGCGCGCGCGCGCACACACACACACACACACACACACACACACACACCCACCAATTTTGACTAACTGAATACACCCAAGTGAACATCACTCAGACTGAATAAATACTGCAGAAGTACTGGTGTGTTCCCTCCAAGTCCCTACACATCCCCACACCCCTTCCCAACAATGGACTTGCTTTTACCTGTTTATGTCTCTTAGCTAAAGGGCATCATGTCGTGTGTATTGCTTTGTGTCTGGTTTCTTCCCGCTCAGCATTGTGTTGAGGAGATTCATTCCTACTGTTAGCATATTTGTGGATCATTCATGCTCATTACTGTGCAGTATTCTTTTACGTGAAGATACCAAAAGATATTTTTAATTCTATTTTTGATGGGTATTTGAATAATTTGTAGTTTGGGACTATTACAAGTAATTGCTCATATCATCCTAACACATATCTTTTGGTGAGCATAGGTACTCCTGTCTTTCAAGTATAAACTAGGAATAGAATTTCTGAGTCTTAGGATTTGGGTATATTCAGCTTTAATAGACACTGCCAAACAGTTCTCCAGAGTGTAAACTCCCACAGGCGTTATGTACAGGTTCAAATTGCTCTGTGTCTTTGCCAACACGTGATACTATCTTGTTTTATGGTAGCTATTCCAAATGCACGCGTAGTGGCATCATGGTGTGTTTTGATTTTCTTTTCCCTAATGACATTGACCCCCTTTTCATACACATATATGTATCTGT